CAACCCGTAATTCATTTATCGCAACACTAATTCAACCCGTAATTCATTTATCGCAACACTAATTAACCCGTAATTCATTTATCGCAACACTAATTAAAAAATCGCGATTGCCCATTTGCCCATGATGATTGTACGTTGGGCCGGAATGTGCATCGGCCAATAAACTACTACTACTATTACTACTACTACTACTACTACTACTACAAACTCTAAAACGAGCATAGTGACAAAGTAGTAACAATGACTTCCCATTCTTTGGATCCAGAACAGATCCAAAAAATGAGAAGCCATTCGTCGCAGCCCTCTTCGTGACAGTTTGTCGGGCCTCTTCGGTCTTCCTCCTTCGGGCGCGATGCCCGCTGAAACTTAAAACTAGGCTCGAGATCTCCTAATAGCGAAACAAAAAAAAGAAAAAAAATAGACTAAATCGCGAAAGCTGAGCGCACATGGACGACCAACGATCGACAATTTTCGATCATTGTCCGTACATGCGCGAAAATCTCGAGCTCGACGTTCGTTTCGAAACCCATTTCGCGACCGCGACCGCGAACTCGAAAAATCGAGGGGCAAAGCCAGAAACGCGCGGCCGCTCGAGCGACCGCTCGTCTCAGCCTCGCCCTCGATCTTTCAAATTTTCATCTCCTGAAACAGGTTGTCACGCGAGGACGCGCCTACCCGACCAGAGACTGTGACAACCTGCCCGGCCCTACCTACTTACAATTAACACACACACACCAGAAAGTATGCTACCTATCCTGCCTGGCGCTATATTTAAAAAAAAAAATGGCAAAACAGGCACACCAACACACTCACTCCACGGTTCTCACTCATTACGCCCGGGTGCAAAGAGCCTACACTAGAGAGAGCGCCCCGGGACGCCTCCGACACCCGAGCTTGATACCACATTCACACTCTAAATTTATTTACGTACCATTTTCCTGAAATCGACTGACGATGGCTAGCGACCATTGCGTAAATTGGAAAATTCTAACGCGGTAAAAAGGATACAAGAAAATTAGATATTTCTCTATATTTCATAGAGAAATATTGTTGATTGAAATTTGTGTAATCGATAAAATGAAATAATAAGAATCGTAACGACGCAATTCCACAGCCTAACCACGCACACACGATGTGGAAAATACGTCGTGCACGATCGCTAACTCATCGTCAGTCGCTGTTAATAAACTTATGAACTATGATCATCGTGCCCATTGCCTCTCTCTCACCCAAGTAACACCTGGGCACGTGAGTGAGATCGAGGCAGCGAACACGGAAGGGGTTAAACCTGAAAATCCTGAGCTAAAAAGATATTATAATTTTTTCTCTAAACGGGCTGATATTATTTCAAACTTCTATTCAATGACTCTAATTTAATTAAATGTTAAAATTTAAGTATCAAAAGTTAAAAGAAAGATCAAACGTTAAGATTGAATGCAAAATAAATAATTGACTTTAAGAATTAAAGTTAAAAATTGAAATAACCTCAGGCGATTCCTTCATCAAAGCGTATTTTCGAAAATAAAAAGTATTAAAAATTATTATTGCTTTGATTCCGAAATCTACCTGTCGCGAAATATCTTCTTGCACATTTTCGTATACGAAATTGAATTAAAATGATTTTATGTATGATTAAAGATTGAACTTAAAAATCGCGCGATTAAAAAATATTATATAAAGAACATGAGAAAAGAAAATTTTTACGTTACTAATAATATTCAATAAAACGCGATGTGCAAGAAGATCTAGCCTGAGCTAATAAATAAAACACAGTTTGTTACTACTCACGGGTATAATAATATACCCGTGGTCACTATGCTCGTTGCAAAAATCTACGTATACAACCAGTCACCCGTGTCGATTCGGACCTTTCGTCCTACGACATGATTGGGTGACCGGAGGAACATAAATGCATGCGACTCACCCTTAGATGCGAAGAACCATTTGCCATCGTGCAGGAGGACGTGGAAGAACGTCTGGATGTGGAACGTATCTGTAACAAAAAGCGTAACAATATAATTTAAAACTAATTCAATAATTCTGTTTCAATAAGAAAATTGAAATAAGAAAAAGATAAAACTCTATTTGACTAATAGAATAATAATAAAAAAGAATTAAAAGTCTAATGATTTTATTTCAGTAAAATAGAAGGATAAGAATTTAAATAAAATGAAAGATAGTTACCTCTTCGCGTGATGGATGATCGCCGTTTTTTCTTGAGAGGAGCACTGACTCTAACGCGAAACGAATTATATAAAGAAATAAACTTTTAACGCGACCGTTTGAATTAATATCGGCGAGCAAACACTGACTCTAATTTCGCGTTATTCATTTGAAAAAAACTTTTACGAAAGCAAACACTGACTCTACTAACCGCATTGCGCGCGGTTACAAAAATGTGCTGAAAATAAAATTGTATTAATAGGGGGAGGGGGATAGGGTAGAAAAAGAAGTAAAATACACTTTGATATTTTCCCTTCTTTTTCTTTCTTCCTTGAAGCATTTGTTTAAGAAAATACTGCTATGGGTTATGAAATAATATTTCTTAATATTCAAAAATGTTTATAAATTTTAAATGAATTTATAATTTGGAAAAATTATCTTATAATTGTTCGTTATCAAAATTTTAATTATTAATAAATAATTATAAAAATAAGATACAAATTAGTATAAATAAGTGAACTGAACTACAAATATTCGAAATTCCTTGCAAAATATTCAAAATTCTACAATTGAACATGTAATAAAAAAAAATAGCATGTAAATATAAATAAATTATATAACATAATTATTATAATATAAATTATATAATATAATATAATATATATTATATAATATTATATATATAATATATAATAATTATAATAAAGAAGAATCTAAAACATACGAGAGGAAATTGTAGTTCTTAGCTTGGCATTAGTTTCCAAAAACTAATCTTTTCGATATATTTTTAACACAAACTTTTTAATGTAATACAAACTGTTTTTTACTGATCTTTTTAATCAAATAATATAATGTGGAAACCAATGCCAATTACCAACGAGGAGGTAACTACTTCGAGACCCATATTATATAATAAATATAATAAAAATAAATTATTAAAATCTTTTTGTTATAAAAGTACGAATAAAATATATTTAAATAAATGAAGGAATGAATGAAAGTAAAAGTTAAAAAAGAAATAAGTAATTAAATGTAAAAAATAAATCTTTAAATAAATAAAATATTAAATGAATAAATAAAAAAATAAAGTAATTAATTACAAATGTATAAATAATTGAGGAAATAAGTAAGTTAAAAAAAAAATAAAAAAAAAATAAAAAAAAGTAAAAAAAATAAAAAAAAATGAAAAAAAAGTAAAAAAGTAAAAAAAATGAAAAAAAATAAAAAAATGAAAAAAAAAATTTAAATAAAAATATGTGCATAATTGAATAAATAAAGCAATAAATGAATTAAAAACCGAAGCGAATGAATAATATATACGATGATATTAATTATTAATTAAAAATAAATATTTTAACAATAAATAATTAAAAATAATTCGTTATGTTATAAAATTTAGTGAAAATGTTATGGTATCGATCGTATCGTCACCGAAGCGCGTTAAGGAATGATCGTCCTCGCGCGATTATTATTGTATATATACTATTATCCCCCCTATAGATTTCGAGCGACGAAATTTGGCGAATATATACGTTTCTTGCCGATTGTATTACCGAATGATTTTTCAACTGTATTTTTTGAAAATAATGGTGAATTTTCAAATGATTCTTAGATTTTTATTGTTAACGCCCACGCTTAACGATTTATTATTACAATAAACGAAATATTCAACATTTTACCCGTTAAAATTGGATTTATAATTTTATGATGTTAATTTTATATCTTTATTCGAATATTTTATAATATTATTTTACAAGAAGAGTAATTATAGAGCAACCACAAGTTAAATTGACCGGTAATGGACAATCGAAAATAATTATGAGCCAAGATTTAGAAATTTATTTAATATTTAATCGTTTTCTCTTCCATTTTCCTTTCTTAACGAGAAAAATACGTTGTTATGGTTATGATATTTTGTTTAAAAATGAGAAATATTAATAATTATTATAAATAATTATTTATTTATGTAAAATGATAGAATATAATAGCATAAAAATAAATAAAAAGATAATACTTGCGAAATATACGTAGGTAAACGTCGCCTGTATTCAATTTTGAGTTTGCACAGAGTTATACAGAGTACGTAGACGAGTTAATATAATTTTATACGATGTATATAAAATCCATGAATCTACATCTCCATCCTGAGATAAGAGGAACATACTGCACAATGGAACAATGAAAACGATTTTGTATCGTGCAGGTAATAAATTTTTATTCCAACAACGTGATAATTAAAAATTAAAAAGAAAAAAAAAAACGTTATAAATGAATGGAATGAAAGTTTCACAAAACTGATTTATTCTTGAATTTAAACATTAAACACTGTTTCCAATAAATAGAATACATGTTTCAATTTGTTTCCAACAAACAACAAAATAGCCAATATATATAAAATATAAATTTCACCAATATTTTAACAACGTGCATAATTCTTAATTTATACATATACTTTCAGTATTTTATAATAAATTCATGTCTTTCTCGAATTATTAATCAAAATCATTTTTCGATCGAAAATTTCTATCTTCGATAACGCGCGAATTAATAATAAATATTTCGATATGGATCTTTTACATATTTTTCGCATATTTACGCAATATTTCACTATCAATTATTTTTCGAACGAACAATCAAAATTCACGATCTATCGCAAAATTCATCCATTTCTCAAGATCAAAGCGTTTCCAGATAAAAGTTGAAGTCTCGAGTACGAAATTCGCACGAAACGAGGCTCTCCACGCAGCATTAATTTCCGCTTCTGCCGGCTCGGCTAAAACCGTGAGCTCGTTTAGCAGTTCATTAGCCACGCCGTACCTCGAACGGCGAATTATGCAAAAGGCAGAGCAACCCCTCTTACCCTTATCGTGGAACGACAATGGTCACGTTCCAAGCCGCCTACGGGATCTCGTTCACGATCTTCGACGTTCAACGTCGCGGAATTCAAAAACCGGAAGTCGTCACGAAAACCCTCCGCTATCCCTTCGACATTTTTCTCGAGAATTTCACATAATTTTTTAACAGTTTATTATCCAACGCTATTGTGTTCATAAACTGAAATATATCGGATACGTTCAAATTTAATAAAATAAAAACATTTAATTAATTTAAAATTTTTTCTCTGAACAATTCTTCTTTCCAGGAAATGTGTCAGAAGTATAACGATTCGACTAACAATTATCCTTATCTTAACGGAATCTAAATGAACACAGCATATACCGCACAATGCGTCATTCCTTTCGAAATACGCCGCGTACAAAATTGCGTTTACGCGGAGAGCAGTCGTAGGACGACTGCGCGTGATGCATCGTTCCCCATGATTTAGGGTGTTGCGTCGTGTGCACTTGCCTTATTTATTATCGTCTCTCCAGAACCGGACATGTTTATTACGATTGTCGGCTCCCTCTCCTTTCAACTTTTTTAATTTAAATACTGCCGGTAGTAATATCGATTCTCGCGTTGATTTAAACGCGCACGATGATCTCGGAAATCATCTGTTAATAACCCCGTGTTTCCACGTATCTAGCTCGAAGGAATTTCGTCGAAACGAGTCGAAGAGTGAAAGAAATTTTTAAAATTGGGAAGAGAGAAGATCGAGCGGGACGAAGGAAATGTTGGAAACAAGTTTGAGACGACGAGGTGGAAAGGGATCAGTTTTGAAGAAAAAAAAAAAAAATTGGACATCAAAAGGATTCGAAGAGTTTAGGAGGGCCGTTGTGGAAATTGGTTTACGTTTGGTTAAACTCGTTTGGTTACTTGGCAGACTTAGGGATGTTGGTTAGATAGACAGTAATAGGTGTAATATTTTCTTGAAAGAAGGAGGGAACGAGAAACGATGGAATTAGTACTTAACCGCTTTCAAATTGACGCCGGCAATTCGTGTTGGTTTTACGAGCTTGTTTCCGACCGGGAATTAACGTGTCTGTCGATCATAATTTCTGCCCAATGAGCATTACGTTTAACGAAAAATTTACTTTATCGAACCGGTCGTCTTCGATTTTTGAACAGGAATACCATGAAACTCGAAGCTGTAATTTAACTGGATTTACGAGGATAACCGGGAGAAATCAGTTTAAGAGAAGGAAAATCCGTATAAATTACACGTTTCCGTATTCAGAAACGTGTAACAAAATCTTCGGAGCGCAGTGTAATTAAATTGTCGCGGATGAAATGATCGAATTTTTCATCATTCTTCTCATGTTTTATTAATTTAAACTTTAAACCAACGATGGAATTCGATAAAATTTACAAATTCCCAGATTTTTATTATTCAATTAAAAACTCTAAAATAAATGGGATTTACGTAAACTTAATCCACAATCCAAGCACGTGCAACGACCGATATCCAATTAAAGAATAACACAATAACGATATTGAATATCTCAAATTTTCCATCCCTAAAAATAGTCCAATCTTGCCTTCTTCCACCCTTACCCCGGCTTCGAAAGTTGGCTAATTTTCGTCGCCCCGTGACGTAACGAGATTCAGCGTAATTTCCTCGCCAACCACCTGCGGAAAATTTGATACGCGATACCATAATGAACCCTGCTATTCTGCTCGCGGAAATTAATGTTTACGCCGCGACTTAGCGCGGTTGCAACCCACCTTCGCGAGGAAGGAAGGAAGGAAGGGGTTACCGAAACTACGTAAGTAAAGCCTGCGCTTTATACGAAGCTGCCTCGAAAATTCCGCGCACGATTTGTTGCAGGGAGGCCAACGTGCCTCGACCTGCAACCCTCCATCCCTGCATGTCGTCGCAGCTGCAACCAAGTTTGATATGCGAAGTACAAACGGCTGTAAACTTGCGTCAATTGCAACTTGTCACCGTGATCATCTGTGGATCACTGTGTATCATCGATACGCGAGGATGGTGGGGGGGGGGGCGGGGGGAAGGTTGTTGTGGAATACGGAAATTTTTATCGGTATAAGAAAATTTAATTTATTTCTATGTTATATTATTTAGAAATATATACTTGTTCAAGTTCATTTATTTTAAAATTATTGTTTGAGAATTAATTAATTTTTCTCAAATTTTTCTTACATAAAATGATAATAAAAAAAAAAATAAAGGAAATAGGTGGTAGCGAATAATATATTAATATTGGTGAATGGATATTCAATTAATTGTTTTCCTAATCATGTTAATAAAATTATTAATAAAAAATCAAGAATAGATTTTTATTAAGCAGATTAAATTTGTTATTTATTTTAGTTTATTATTGTATAAAATAGATTGAATTGTATGTAATATTAAGTTTGGTGTGTATGAAGTGTGGTAAATACTTGATATTGGGCATAGTTCAGGATGATGAGCAGGAAAGAACGTTGATGCGATATTTTTAATTGAATCTCG